TTAACGATGATTTATTCGAATGTGGAAATGTAGTTTTGTATCTAGAAATCATGAGTAGCATTAATGAGAGTGTAATTCTCTTATATATTAAAAGATAGAAGCCTATTTGGTGATTGATTGTTATGATTCGAAAAATCTTTGTTTAGCAATTCCGACGGATATGATACTAATTAATAATCTCTTCCAGTAAATCAAACCAAATTAACCGTATTTTCACATTTAATTTTATATTAATCGTTTAGTATAAAATGCTGTTAAAATTCATTCTAGTATTTGAAATTTAAAGAGAGTCAAAGATATAATTAGGTTGATTGATTTTGGAAATTTGGCACCCTGTAATTTTACATTGCACCAGATTAGTAATTTGATTAGTAGGCAAAATCGGGGCTAAAGGGAAGTACTGTAATTCAATAGATGATCTCCATAGTGCATAAATAACAACATTACTGCATTAAAAAAAGTAACCCTAACCATAATTCCGCTTTAGCCGATCTTTTTTGTCGTAAAAAAAAAAAAAAAAAAATTCTAACTTTTAGTATAATAAACTTTTAAAATAATTATGTCCTATTAGACATTTATACTGCTCTAATGATATTTTAACATGCATTCCATTATTTGATTGAATCAGAAATTTCCAGATATATTTATCCAATCGAAAGCATTGTTTCTATTCGTTCAATAGGAACTGATAGGAAAATTTGTAAACCCCTCCCACACTACCATCAATACGACTATGACTAATTGAAGGCCTAGTGTACTTAACTAAGAATGAATAAATAGTAATACGTTTAAAGGAATGCCATAATAAGTATGACGATTTACCATGAAATTTACTATGGCTATACTGTATAACGACAAGAGATGATAAGGAAAAAATTTAAGAACAAAACGTGACATCCTGTTTAACATAAATACATATTGATTTTCTGTAACACCATCCTAATTTGAGGAATTTGCATATCTATAGACGTGCGTACGTACGTAGGCTTTTTTAGACTCATTTTTGACTGGAAAATATGGCACTCGAAAAAGTTGATATATTATGTGAAATTTTTAAATATTCTGAACTTGACAAAATTTATCCATGCATCTTTGTAAACAAATTATGGTGTGGAACAGCAGTGCCTATTCTTTGGCAAGCACCATTTATACCCAATTGTTTTCCTCGTCCAGACGAAAAAGCATGGAAATCTTTAAAACATCTTGCTAAAACTTATTTACTTTGTCTTACTCCGAGTAGATATGAGGTTTTGAAAAATGAAGGATTGCCTTTACCATCGGAATCATCACTAATGTTTGATTATTTATCTCATTTGAAAGTTTTAGACTTTTCATTTATTTATGATGTATCAGACTCTTGGATTAATGATGAAAATGAATTGGCACATTACAAAGAAACGTTAAGAGAGACATTAATCGAAAATATAATTGAAAAGGCAAACAATATTCAATTCATTCATCTTGATGGAAATATACAAGCACCAATCCTCAATAAAGATACGAAAAGTTTGCAGGATTTGAGAAGGCTATATATTTATTCACAAATAAACGAAGAAATATTTGTTAAAAATATTTCAGAATTTGCAAAAAACCTTTCAAGATTTGCCGAAAAGCTTGAACACATTACTATTCGAGAAGATGCATATAGAGAAGATCAAGAAGATAAAGAAAATGAGGCTAGTGCATTAGCAGAGCTTATTAAAGCTCCAAGATCATTGCAATATCTTGAAATAATCGGGTACAGAAATGTTTCTGAAATATTTAAATCTTTACCAAATCAATTAGTAAATCTTTCATTAAAAGAGATTGACTTTGGGCATTTTGATCAAGATACTATTGATTCTTGGAGTTCATTCTTTGAACTAAAAAAATTACAAAAACTCGAGTTCCGTAAAAATGGCCATTTTAATCAGGCAGCTGTACCTTTAATCATAAAAATAATCGAATCTGCAAGTCTAAATCTTCAACACTTGGAATTATCCATGGTTCCTTTAACTCTAGATAATAAAGCCAAAATTGTTAACACTATCGCTCAGAATTGTGAAAATCTTGTTCATTTAAATATTCGTTCTTTATCAAATTCTGAAATTATATCAATTTTAGTTAGTTGTCAAAAACTAAGAGTACTAAAATTTTATACTGAGAATAATTTTTATCACGTTAACTTTATTGAGATAGCTGAACATTTATCACCATCGTTAAAACTTTTAAATATTATTATTACAACCAAGTATTATTATCCTTCTTCTGATTCTTATAATTCATTTATTGAAAATTTGAATATCAATAGCAAACTTGAAGTTCTTAACGTTATTAAAGTTGGAAATTTTCAGGTGGAGGATGAAAGCAAACAAATACTTGAGAAACGTGGAATTAGACTTAACGATTTTAAATTTATTTGTCCTTATTAATATATATATTATTTTGGTGAATAGTTAATATATTTTTATTAAGGCGAAAATTTTCTTTTATTTGAGATTGTAGAATTATCAAAAGGTTTTTCATTTGGTCTGGGTAAATTATATAAGATTCATTCGAAGAATAATTATTATAATTTGTCAATTATTTTATTATGTAATAAAGGCAAGTGATAAAAGTCGAATAAACAATAAAGTTCTTATAATTTCAATTCTCTTTGTTATAATTCGAGAGGCAACATTTCCAAAGAAGAAAGTTCAGTGAAACTATTCGTATGAAACTAATGTCCTTGTGAATGCTTACATCTGTTCATCATCAGATAATTTTAGGATGCATGTTCGTTATAACTCTAAAAAACATTAACACATACAAATCATTATATCGGAAATTTTCCTAGTTATCGCGGACTTTGATCAATTCAATAAATTTAACCGCACAAAAGACTAACAAATTTTGTGTAAACTACAGAGTGATATGAAATGATAAGTTTTTTGAATCAATTAATCAATTACCATTATTCATTTAAAAATCAAAAGTTTCTATTATGTATAATCGTTCGCGTGCATAAGACTTTATTCTGTGTTATAGCTTCTGAATTTATTAGTAAATATCCCGTTAAATTTAAACTAAGACGAATGTGCTGATAAATAATAGCATATTTCTTTATGATGAAAGCTAACTAAATGTTTTTTATAAATCAAAGTTGGATATTAAAGCAAACAGTGTAATGTGTTTTTTTATTTTTTTTTGTATCCCGAGTACATGTGGTTAAGGATTTCTATTTTGCATTAATATTGCGGGGTGAAACCTAATTTTCACTTATTTTAATATAAAATTGACTAGATTAAGATTTAGGGTTAGTGTTTATAATAAAAGAGTATACTGTATGCGTATTTTACGTAGTAGGATTCATATTCTTAAATAGAAATCTCAGATTTTCAGCTTCAGTCGTTTCAAACTTCAGCCGCAACACTGAATTTATTAAAACTGTCAAAGTCTTCATTGTAGTCTTGATTCTATTATTAGTACTAGTTACATTGGAAAATTTCTAATATAAACTAAAAATTTATGATACTAAATAATTTAAATCTAAATCTCGGGAATATCTTATTGCACGAATTTAAAATTAATGATAAAAGATTTAAATTTTTTTTGTTAAATTGAAAGATAAGCAATTCTTTCATTACAAGATTTAATTTTATTGAGTTCAATTGACCATAAGTAACTTTTCCAGAATTGTTAATATTAACAAATCCATGATATTGGCAATTAACGCAATTATCAAAAAGCTGATTCACTAAAATTGGGTTCTTTAAATCATCAGTCAGGATAGGTAAAGCTTTCTTATCTTCAATATTTTTGCCATATGATATGTTACCAGATTTGTGATGCCACTCAACATACATTTGGCCATAATCGTACATTTGAGAAGAATTTTTTCCATCGACGGCACTGTTATATAAGATGGTTATTCAATACCTGCTATAAAATCAAATAAAATAAAAGCATTTTGCTTACCAGAAAAATAATGACATCTTTGGTAAAATGCTTTCATATACGAACTCCTTTTCGAAATTATAAGCAAATAAACATGCTGACTTATTACAAGTTGTAAAATGAGTGCCAACAACAATTTTGGTATTTTGTGGATCGTGATTGATTGGTTGTACAGTAGCAGGTTGAATAGGTTGAATAGCATTCGGTTCTAATTTACAAATGCACAATATACATGTTTGATTAAGATTTAAAGCCTCACAATTAGGGATTTTTATAATACTTTCAGAAGCTGCTGGATATGTTCCACTCCTAAATGTTAACGGATGGCAGAGCAGCTTAAAGTCGAAGCTTGTTGGCAGTCCAACAACAATCCAGCAAAGTGTGGCTTCATAGTAATGTTTGTTTTTCTTTCGAAGGATTTAGCCAATTTAGATTGATCCCATTGAATGTGATGAACTACAATTACTGGTAACATTGGATTTTGGTCTTCATAATCTATATGTAAAGAAAATACATTATCTTCCTCTTTGTTTACAATTGAAGCAAAAATCTGGCATTTGTCTATATTTTTTATTTCGTCAATTTGTGAAGACAAATAACAAATATGTGATTTGAATTCTCTTGGATCGCTATTAAACTTAGCTATCTCAATACCCGCTGTTGATAGAAATTTATAATAAGTTAGTGAATCGTAAACAGGTTTACATTAATCAGTTTAAGTTCATACATTTTAAAATTCGAGGTCCTAAAGCTTTCAAAACTTTTTTTTGTAATTCTGGATCCAATAATTCAAATAATGGGTAAATTTCTTTATAGCCAATTATTTTCCAGGTAATGGGTTTTTTAAGAGATTCTTTCCAAGGCTCTAAAGTAGTAGAACTATTCTCATCGTCATATAAATCTTCACCACCAATAATTCGAACATTCTTTTTTATCTTGTTATTAGAAGATTTCGTTTGGTTTTCATTTTCATGAACAAAATCTGCACCGATACGTGCATGTAAATTATTATTCTGCAAACTAGGTCCTATATTAAATTGTGCACCAGTGGATTTAAATATAGAACTTCCACCTATGAGCAGTATAAACATATATGTGTATATATATATAAATATGCGAATTTACAATAATTAGAGTATCAATAACTGATAAATATTAAATGCTTACTTATATACTCAGTATGTTCAACATCTTTAATAATAGCCCCTCCAACAACAAGACGACGTGCATAAAAATGTCCATATTTTTCTGACACTTTACGAAGATTTTGTATTTTATCATGAGTCGTGCCCGTATCCTTCACCGCCTCTTCAACAGCTCTCTTATAACCTTCAGTAGGGCTAATACATGAGTTTTGAATAACGAGTTCAGCTTTTATATGCATGTCATGCGTATGTTCAGTCGATTGCGTGCGGTTTTCATACTTTTGTTTGGAAATTTTTCGAGACAGTCCAAGAGAAGCAGAAAACCAGGATGAAGCGGCCGAAACATTCAAATTTCCATCTAATATAAAACTTCGTTTACATGCATCGTCGTATGAAAGCTCACATTTCGAAAAATGCGTTTTAAATCCAATTGATGGTACTATTTTAATTTGATTAATATTAATTTCAAAGGCATGATCATCAACATTCTTGATGGAATTATCTTCGTTGAATTTAAATCCTCGTTCTTCTTTTATCTGATTAAGATCGAAATTACAATTATTATCGTTATTATTAGAAACTTGATAATTCTTAGCAATAGAAGGTTTTCCAAGGTATATGATATGGGTCATGCTTACCATCATCTGCAGGTCGAAAAATGCCTCTACATAGCACTTTTCGGAACTTTTACGCTCATTGAAATAAATTTAAAAATAAAGACTTAGAGCATTATTTCGGTATACATGGTTTTTTAAAAAAAAGATCATTGGTTGCTTGATTTCTTTATTTATTCGTATTTAAGCTTATTGTTTTAACCATAATTTTTGACGCCAATGATCAGCAAGTTATCACATTTACAAACTGCGGCAAAAATTGCAATTAATTGTGGCTGCGCTATATAACTATTATGAATAATAGGGTAGCTGCGCGACGTCATCGCACAAAACCAGGAACGGAAGAATCAGTAGATTATATTAGAAGTTTTAAACAATAAAATGTTTTAACCGTTTACTAATACTAATAAATTATTTATATCTTAGCCTATAAGTGTATAGCACAGAGTTGGCACATGACTAGATTACATCAATAAATTCAAATAGCGAGTCATATGAACTCATTAATCATATTAGCAGTTTAATTGATCATGTGCCAACACTACGTATAGCATTATATAATATAATCAATCAAGCATAAAATTTTAATTATATATTGTGTTTATTCAATTTTTTATAATTAGAAGTTAAAGTTGTATAGAATTTTTTAGTGTTTAATCGTTTAATCGTGTCTAGAAGCTAAACTTATTCGATGTAATGATGAAACGCGGTATAAGATGCATTTTGTATGGAGAACAGATTCATAAATAAGGTCAGTAAATATTATAAAAATATATATGTATACTCGAATACTTAGATCAGATTGATAAGTGACCAATATGATGTTTGATCAGGTCTGGATCATAAATAATTAGGTAATTATTAATTAGTAATCATGAATTAATTACGTCAAAGTATAATAGCTAATGATCTAAAAATGTAATTTAAAACGCGTGATCAATATTTTAGCAAAAAGTCAAAGCTTCATGATCGAAGTATGACGAAATAGGGTTTTTAGAGAAAATTTGTAAATAATAATAAAGAATTGAAAGGTACTTTTTCATTATATATGCACAAACTGATCATAATAGTATAGATACTCCCTATTGAATAGTCTTTTAATTGTGCATTTGCATGATATTGAACTTTTGGCACCAGAATATAATACAATTTGCAAAAACTTTGTGCTAATGACTAATAATATTTTAACTTAAGCTATGAGGTAAATTTATGTGGTTAAATGGTTTCAACTTTAATTACAATTTGCTTGTGATATTTTTCAAATTATTTAGCATAACTATATTGAAAGTAAATTTTAGTAAAATGAAATGCCATTACTAGTACAGAATTTGATTTAATGATTAAACTAGACTATGAAGTAGCAGTTGTTACTACTATAAAAAATAAGAAGTTCACATACTAAAGTTTTTTAAATAAAAATTTATTTGTTTATATTTAATAAAATTTTATACTATTTTCTACAGAAAACAAGAACTATGTAGTAGTTATACATGTTTCATTGATAAATATTTGGTCAAATTTTAGCTAAGCAGTTTTTGTATATATTCTTCAATATATGCAAATTCTGCTTGAAGTATAGAAGGTAATTGCATATTTAATATAGATGCATCAAATAGTTTTAAAATTAGTAAACTATCTAATTTTTGTGTTTTGAAAAGTATCACATATATACTGTTATTTGTATGTTTTCTTGATAGATCTACAATTGTTTTTTAAGCGTGCATTTCTGAAACTTAAAGTTTATAAATACAAATACAGATATTAAAGAAAGTCAAAAATATTAAAATTTTTGCAAAATTTAGACTTATCATATTTTCAAATTATATATATAAGAATATTTAATAGGATAGATAGATATATAATTAAAAAAAGGTTTTATAAATATCAGATGTTTTACTAATTAATTTAATAATAATATATTTTGGTGAATTTTTAAAATTATAATATTTTTATAAGAAAATAAAGTGTTGATAAAAGTTTTATAATATATGATTTGTTAAAAATTTCTAGTAAACTATTTGTTAAGTTACTATTAGTACAAATATTGATTATTAAAATAATTTCATATTAATTGATAATAGCAAAATTTTATAGTGTGTATTTTCTTTAGTATCAGAAGTTGATAAAATCTTTAGTTATTCTTAGAAAGAAATTTTTTAATTACAGAAGTCTTGTATATAAGAGTAAATAATAGGTTAATAATTAATATAAACATATTCTCTTGTAATATCAAAATTAATCTAAATTAAAGATTATTTCTTGTTACTAAAAAAATAATTAGAGTTTTACAATTTGATTTAATTTAATTTAATTAAATATTTGATATCAAATCAAATTTAAATATAAAAAATTTAAATTAAATCAAATTCAAATTGATAAAATATTTGATTTATTTAACAAATATTTGAATATTTAATTTAATTTTTATTGAAACTATAAATATAATAGCTATTTATATAAAGGTTTATTAAGATAATCATCTTTTATTTCTATTTGACTAGAAGTATTTTGATTAGAAGAATATTTTTTATTTAATACAAAATTGATTAGTTTAGTAAAATTTTGTGTAAATTGAAAATTGTTAAAAAGTGCTAAAATTTTAAAAATTTTAAAAATTTCTAAATATTATTTGATTTAATTTGATTTAATTTGATTAAATAAAATTTAAATCAAGGTTAATTTGATTTGATCAAATTTAAATATACTTGATATTTAATTTGATTTGATTTTAAAGAACTCTAAAAGTAATATTTTTCATTTTTAAAAGTTAATTCTATTATTTTTAAAAACTTTAATCATAAAGTTAATATTTAAATTTTGATAAGATTTTTATTATGCATATTTTAAGAATTCTAGTATAAAAAAGGGTATCTATTTGTTATATTAAAGTTTTTAATTAAACAACTGCTTAATATTTAACTAAAGACTTCTTTCTGTTATATTAATAATAGTTCAAGAGCTGATTAATAAAAAGTTAATATTACACTTTCTCTTTATATAAATCAAGTATAGAAATAATAATTTATTTTATTTAGTATATATAATACTATATCTAAAACAGGCAATAACTATATAAAATTTCTAGCAGTATATTTATTCTTGCAAATAGTATAGTATTATTGGCTGTTTTTTTTTTTTTTTTTTTTTTTTTGGTGTTAAGGTGGCCTCTTGGCCGGCTCCTTTTATTCGGTTATAGTTAACTT